AGCAATTTGGGGAAGACTACACCGATTTCGGCTCATACAAGAAATCAATGAGCCCATTTTCATACAAATACACTTCAACGGCCAGATTTTTGGATTTAGAATCATCGAGATATTGTCTACGTCGTGCAACTTCAGTGAGCAAGTTAGAGAAGTTCGCACCGATTCACTGTATTAGTCTGTATATACTCTGTATATACAGTGAATCGTATATACTTTCTTACGAACAGCATTCTATCTGGGATTCAGCTGCCTATGAGTAGGTATTGAATGTAACCCAGCCTACAGCTTCCTTATGGTTTTGAATCAGGCTTATTCCCAGCCAATGCATCGCTGCTTTCCGTTTCTTTTGCTGTAGTACCTTCCTTGTGAAGCGAACTTTGTTAACCAAATTTTAATGTTGCAGAAGAGCAGTGCCCAATGCTGCATGCATAATTATGCAAAATGTGCGGTCTCATCATCTCATGCCAGAGCGGTTCTTTAGCATTTCACCCAGTCCAGTTCCTGCTCTTATTTCGGCTTTTTAACCCGTTGACGGGCATTGGCGTCAGGACGCAACATGGTCTTCTGAATTTTTTTCCCAATGATTGGGAACAGTTAATGAATATCAATTAGCATAATTAGCAATAAGAGACTTTAAAGCAGCACTAAAAACATAATTCAAACTTAGATCTCAAGTTAATTACAAATGACCGCTGCCCGAAAATAGCTAATTTCGGACTTTTCAAGCTCTCGTAGATCTTGCTAATTAACTAATTAGTGGATGAATAATTAAACCAGAGATAAATCAACAAGGTACAACTAACAACGTTCTATCCAAAATCGATTAACACAGGTCTTGTAAGTTGAACAGTAGAAGACCACAGTCCGTCAAAAACTTGTGTTGCGTGCCAACACCATTGCCCATGAAGGGTCTCAGATACACGGGCGGGTGCAATTTCGACTGTTTCTCTTTATCACATAATCAGATCAAGTTACTGTCGGTTCGTACGCAAAACATGCGCCACGCGGTTCTGTTGGTCGGAAGCTGGAAAAAAACGCTTTTGCGTATCAGCACCCCGGGCGGTCGGCGAAAACCAAAATCGCCTCTAAATTTGTCTACGTCAAGAAAACAGAACGTAGTACGTAGTCCTGATCGTAATTCTACCGTTGTTGCAATAAAACTGTGAATGGCGGCACAACACCACGCGCTTTGCCGCGTTTCTACATATTGCTGTATCGCTTGGGTAAGCTAGGCGAGAGCTGCACAGCATTTCAGAAACATGAATTTTGTGTGATCAGTCTCGGGCGGTTGAAAAGTACAGTAATTGTACACTTACGCGTGTACATTGGGGATCCTGACCATTGCGGCAGCCGTAGCTAGTTTCTTCCGGTCGCTATTGCGCTCCAGAAGGTGTTAGTGATCAGTGACCGCTAATATCTCATTTTGCGCCAATGACAACTGCAGCTGGACTATCCGCGCCGCTTTTTAGATAATGGCACTTGTAGCTACACCAAGAAAAAATGCAAGCGCGCAAAATGCGGGCAGTATAAAGGCGGCTATGCGTGCCAGACATACAGGAAATGCAGTGTTAAACTTCAAAAATTATGCTTCGTGCAGTCTCGAATGAGAGTATAATGAAAGTTATGGAAAAGAAATGTCGTTGGCATCGTTTATTTTCTGTATTCCATCTGTTAATAGTGGTCAAAATACATGGCAACGGGATTTGGTAGTTTTAATTTTTTGCTGACCAGTGGTCAACTTGTTGACCACTTCTATGCTCTGTTTGGAAGTGCTTTTTTTGTACTATTTAATGGTTTATTGCTTTTATGTAATTCCCGTTCGTCTAATTATCACAAAATTAAACGTTTTTAAGGTTGTAAACCGTTCATGGGCAATGGCGTTAGCAAACACCGTAGTCACCACGGCTGACCTATGGTCAGCACAAGCTTACAAAAAATTCCCTTTCTTAATTGATTTTTTTCATCGGGAAATCCTGATTTTCAAAATGAAACTCGCACTCCTTCGGGTACCGCCCGCTGAAGGGTTAAGGAATTTTTTTCTGCATTTATGCTTTAAACCTCATGAACGAAGTTCTTACCACGAAAGTTATTTATTTCTGGTATTTTTGTTTATCCGGAAATTTTAACACCAGGTGCCCAAAACTGAGCACGTATACTTAAAGTGACCGAAATATGAGAAATACCGAAGTACATTAATTCCTGCGACTATGAAATGCCAGTTCATCACAACAGCACAAACGGAAAAGATTCAACATCATGGTGCGCTGGCGTAATCACATTCACCCTTGCTGCTTCCTCTTGGCCGCTACCCATTTCACCACGTGCTTGTCGTCGATTTTTAGCAGCTGCAATTCTACAGGATGTTCGCGGCCGTCGAAGCTGACGACATGCCGACCCGCCCGCAGACACCCGTACGTCGCCTCCCTCCACCCGCCGTCTATGTGCGCATCCACCGGCAGACCACGCTTCAGAATGTCCCGGGCACGAATTACGCTCTCTGATGGAGCTGTTTTCTCCGTTTCCTCCGAAAACCACAAGTACAGGAAATCAAACTTCCGCGTTCCGACCCCTTGTGCGGGATGCCATTTATTGTCGCTACAGTCCACGAAGATCCCTTCACGCGGCCTGTAGAAAGCCTTCCCATCCGGTGCCCCAAAAGTTTGCGCGGTTCCGAGTGGGTGAAAAACTGCAGCGCTGGTTTAGGTGTGGCATGTTCCCACAGATGGATGTCACACATTTCCGCTGGCTTTAACAGACCACTCTGCAAGACATCCATATTGTGAAAATGTCCGGGAATACCAACAATTTGAAAATATAGTCAGCGTTTTGGAATAATGCCATGCTTTGCTGTAGATGGGCTGTGGCCGCCTGCACTGGCAAGAATCTTGCCCCGACGCCGGCTAATCGCCGCCGCATGCTGGGTACGGCATTGTACCATGTCCGCTTCCCGCTGATGACCGACGAGCAGCTGGCCAAGGGACCTGTTAAGGTTAAGATATCGTCTTGGCTCTTCGTTATTGGGTTTAATGTGACCAACAGCGTTTTTCTGTTTGCAGAGCGATCTTCTGAACGATAGCGAACTACGCAAACTGTATCTATGCAAACACGGAGAGAGCAAGGACCCACTGGAATTCTCTACACAACCGCGCGAATATTTATTGTACTGCATCGGGTCGCACTACTGGTACAAAACTGAGAAGCTGTTCATGTTGTTTGCGAATGGTTACTGGTACCCCGCCAGCGCCATGGCAGAGAATACTGTAAATGCTTACTCGAAGGGTAAAACCGAAGATCAAAAGGAGTCAGGTAAATTATCCCCGGAAAAGCCCATCCAGACAGTTTATCCTGGCATAGTCTGAAGCGTGGTCGATCAGTGTACGCGTTCATTGACGGCGGCTATAAGGAGGCCACGTACGGCTCGCGCCGGGCTGGTCGACACACGGTTAACGTTGCCGGCCGAGAATACAGTGTGGACTTTATGGAGCTTAAGATTGCCGATAAGCACGTGGAGGAATGGAATGCGGCCAGGGAGTAGATTCGTACGGAACCAGATGGACTTGTAGTGTATGACGTCGACGGCTGAATAGCTTCAGTTTATATCAGCTTACAAGCTTGTTTTACGATTATACAGCGATTATTTGCACGCTGATGGTGTGGTTGTTTTGGGCACTTGTGGCAGTTTGGATTGTTTAAATACTAGGAGAAGGGAGCATTACTTTTCTGGATTTGACTGCATATTGCTGTTGCTGACTACGCAATGCCGTTTTGAATGCTCATGTGGATCCTGCAACCGATAAACATGCTGGCCAAATGGGTAGTTTTGCAGTTTGTTTAATCATTCTGGTACCAGATTTTCAAAATTGAATTTTTCGATGCTGTTTTGTTTTCGAAATTTCCCTTAAATCGGGAAATGAAGCTGCGCGATTTACTCGTACACAACAAGTTAAAACCGCTACAGGATGTTCTGCTGAGCAACGGGCAGCACCAGTTTGCTCCTTTCCGACGTGCAGAATGCAGAAGATATAAAAAAATGCGCATTGTTGCGAATAAGGCTATTTCCTCCATCGTTAACTGTGAGTGTTTTTATGCAAGCGCCCTATTACATACGGCGTATAACTGCACTGTACTTAAATGGTAAAAGCAGCTTGTGGCACACCGTTTGTGTATCGATAGGAGCAGGAAAACTAAGTACGCCACATCGAGGCCGATCAGAAATTTCGCGGTCACATCCGGACTACATCAAAAAACAATAATCCTTGAGTAAAGCGCTACTTTTTGACCGGATGCGCTCTCCACGTTGATTAACACCTTTATTGCCAATCGTCAGCTGCATAAACTGGACACTACATTCGCGGCCGGCGACGCTCACCCGATGTCGATCGGAGTGATGTGCATCACCTCGTTGAGACCCCCCCCACCCCCGCCAGCACGGGGAAATTACGATTTCGGAACATCCGCCGGTATGGCTTTGCAACGGTACAGCGTTTTGGGATAATCTGCCTACTTCCTTCTCGTTAAGCTCTCTTGAAGCATTTACTTTTGCGAGTTTTCTGTCATAGGTATGAATTGGGGCAACGGTAAAAATTGAGAAGACACATTAACCGGATGTTCTCTGTCAACATTGTTGTGATCAGACCTCACGGTGACCTGCCATTTCGTTGACGAAAATTGGTCTACCGTCACTTCGTCGAACAGACACGATGTCGACCCGCCATGACGTCGAAGTTCGACGTAAACGATAGATGGTTAGGTTTTCTTAGGTTTTTTAGCCGTCGCCCTTGTAACATTAAGGCGGTCGACATTGTGTCGGTGGACGAAGTGTTAGTCAGCGAAATGTCGGTGAGCCGGGATAAGCCTGCTGGGCACAGAGTAATCGTAACGCAATAAGGCTTTAATCTATCCTCTGGGGATGTAATTTTTATACCAACAAGGCAACAACTGAAACATTCTCACTTCACACACAATTGCATCCAGTCAGTCAGCCAAAACTAGAGCACTCTAGCACAAAAACTGAAGTCCTAACTAATCATGTTTAAACAACACATATTTCTCACAAGTCTCGTGAAACCTCGAACGGATAGTGTACAGATTTGTACTATTTTATCATCGCCAAACGATTTCTAACGAAATTTTATCAAATTCGGTGGCATATCGAAAAGTACAATTTTTTGGCATATCGATTTATAATACGATACAACCGAATCGTACAAACTTATATCACAATTCGATAAGGTCCAAAGAAAATCACCCGCCGACATCCCGCTATTGCTCGCCAGTTCCAAAGTGCCAGCTATCAGTCCAATTGCACCACTACTTTCTGGCCGCTTCCCATTCGTCCACATGTTTGCTGGCAATCTTCAGCTGCGCCAGCTGCACACAGCACTCTCGACCGGCCACGTTAACCGTATGTTGACCGGCCCGCTGCGCACCGTACGTCGCCTCCTTATATTCTCCGTCAATGTACGCTTCCACTGGCCGACCCCGCTTCAGAATGTCCGCGGCCCGCACGGTACGCTTGGGCCGGGAGTAGCCGCCACTGTTCTGGTATTCGGCGATATTGCAATGCCAAAGCTCATCCACCCTATTCCGCCCAAATACAATGACAGGATACCAATATCCGTTCGTATATCGCATGAAGATATTCTCGTTTATTTTGTATGAATAACGCGACCCGATGCTGCACATCACGGATTGTCGCGGCTCCTTGGAGAATTCCAGCGCGTCTTTATTGGCATGCTTGCAAGGTACAGACTGCGCACTTCGCTATCGTTCAGCAAAGCGCTCTGCAACCACACCAACTTTATTAGTACAACCAATATGCCAAAGCCTTGAAAGGGAATTTAAGAACGGAACTCCAACCTGCACGGGTCCCTTGGCCAGCTGTTCGTCATTCATCAGCGGGAAGCGCACGCGGTACAATGCACTACCCAGCATCCGGCGGCGATTGGCGGGGGAAGGTGTCAAATTTTTCCGAGCGCAGGCAGCCGTCGCCCATCTACGGGGACACGCGAAGCTTCGGAAAAGGCTTATAGTACACGTACACACCCCAACGTCGGCACTTTCATTAAATATTCCCGAAGAATTTACTTCTATGGTAAAAACTGGAACAGCATAAGCCGCAACTTACTGCTCAACAGCCACGTAAATGGCATTTTCCTCCGCAGACAGCGTACTGCGCTGCAGAATCAACTCCAGCGTGGTTCGCTCCAGCGTTAAAAAGTGCTGCGACTGGAGAACATCGTGGCTGGATGCGTCCACCTCGTCCCAACATTTCTCCACCACCGGATCGCAGTCCGGTGTCCAGCGTAGCGCCTACGAATCGCACATATGCTCCCATACACAGCACGGCCGAGATCACGATGTAAATAAAACACGTAAAAATAACTGACTAACATGTTCCAGATACAGCAGACAGTTATCGGCATCCAGCTCGTCAACAACGAAATCCGTGCAGAGCTCCGCCAGCCATGGCAAGTCGTACTTATCGGCGCAGTACAGCGTTGGTAGCGCATTCTCTTCCTTCATATTTTCCACCGAACCGGTATAGATATAGCTGAAATTATACAAATAATCAATGACAAGGTAAATAAGAAAAAAATTAACGATATAATAAATAAGGAAAAAACCAACGATAAGATAAATAAGAAAAAAAATCGGATTTAACATTTAAAATTAGATGAAGCTGTTGTAATTAAATAGAAATTAATGAGTTGGTATTTATCAACAACCGGGTCAGGATCCATACGAAAGGCAACTATTACCTTAGCAAGTTGGAGAAAGCGTCTGGAAGTATGTCCGGGATTTCGATGGCTTTGCCAGCGCGCTCAGCCAGGCTACCGTTGAACATTGTATGGAACACGTCGCTGCTGATGCTCAGCGTCAACCTGGTTTGGTTAGGTTGGTTAGTTAGGTCGGCGTCTTAGCCTCGGATCTACGCAGTAATTACTGAATGAGGACGGCCAAGTCGTACCTATGCGCTCGGAAGGTCTTCACCTGGCCATACTGACGTCCAACGGCGAATTCCACATCACTCAACTCATTGTTCGCCAAAGCGTTCTTCCACCGATGGCCCATCTGACATATCGCGCCTCGACGTTCCGCACTGACGAACGCTCCGGATGTGTGCGTCATGACGGCAGCGACGGACAAATTCAGCAAAGCATACGATACGGTGCGGCCTGCGGAGCCTCAGTGCATCTAGAAACGAAGCAGAACAAGAACAGATTTCCACAGAGGACGAAAGCACTGGTAGACGGTAATGAAGCACTTGCGATCGAGAATGTGAACGTTCTTCGCGTTGATTAAGTGAATTTTTGATGGAAAGAAAAAATATTATCGCGATACGCTGAAATACCGAATTGATAGAGTGAAGGGTGGTACTGGGTAGCGATGCGAATCCCAGAAATCCTGAAAATGCAGTACAGGGACCATGACCCACGGACGGCTCTGCATCTCTGACTGGCGGATAGATGACACCGGAAATGAGAGGAAAGCACTGAGAATTAATTTAGTTGTATGCTGCGGGTGGCTGCCACGTTGCGTCAGCGGCTAGAGTTGCAACAGCTGACGACCGCCCAGTGCTGCTTTCTATGGATTTTCTTCTACTTTACTGTAGGTTAAGTAGTTTCTTTTATTTCGTTATACCCTGGCGCCTGGCAGCGCCTTAAAATAACATCGATTAAACGAAAACCCCTTCCAGACTTTCATGCGCCACCTGCGTGCATGTATTGTACGAGATACTTCCGAGCATGCACTTCCGAAAGTGCTACCTATAGGCTACACCTACAGGCGGTATAATATAACGAAGCGATTCGATAATACTGTATAACGAAGGCCCGCTGGAATTCTCTACGGGACCACGCGAATATTTGGCTTGCTGCAAATAATTGCATCGGGTCGAAATACTGGTACAAAACTGAGAAGCTGTTCATGTTGTATACGAATGGTATATCGCAGGATGGTAATTTTGCGCCGGCACAGCATGTCATTGCAATAAAATATTTTGGACGAACACGCGAAAGTCTCGCAGTGCCGTGGACCGCACAAATGGTATGTCGAGACATTCATTTGATTTTTCAGACGGTCTCACCGCCTCAGGTCTAACTGAAGATACCGAAAATCGGTACATTAAACAAGCGTCGAAAAATGGGATACTGAACCGTGAGCCTTTGCACTTTCTAACCCTCCGCACGGAAGAAATAAACAGGCGTTTTTCGTATCTTCGTACCAGCGTACTTGCACCGTTTAAATCACCCGGATTGTCTACGTTTAAATCACCCGGATCCATGCCGGTTTAATACGCATAGTTTTCGGATCGGCGCCCCGACGGCAGCGGCTAGGAGGAATGTTCCCTCTTATCGGATCAGAAATGCTGGACGTTGGAAATCGGATTGTTATCAGCGTTATATACGTGATGTTCAAGCTAATCCTGATTTCTTGTTTTTGTTGACAGCAGTGTTTTTCGTTTTGTGGTTGGTTGGGGGTTGTTGGGGGCTGACGGGCCTGCGCCCAGAAGTCTTCCAGTTCCGGAAACATTATGCTCATTTTCATGGTAGACACCCACAATAAATGAATGATTAAATGTATTTAATCATATTTAATTGTGAGTGCACATCCCTCCATTTTCGTGTTTATGGTAATTTGTCGGCTTTCATTGGTTTGTTAGTGGCTTTGTTTCCTCAGAGTTGGAGATTCTGAGATGTTTCCTTGTTGCTGGAGAGTCGTGTGCTATGTTGAAATCAGTTTCTGCAGTCTTGGCAAGGGAATTTTTTATACAGTAGTATCAACAGAAGAGAAACCCAAGTGCAGATACATCGCAAGACAAGATCAAATCGGGGCCGATCAGAAATTTCAGTACCATGCGAACCATATCAAAAACAGCTTAAGTAAAGTACCGGCGCTAGTTTTTGGCCGATTGCGCCGCTCTCCACTCATCAACCTCCTTACTGGCAATCTTCAGCTGCAGAAACTGCACACTACATTCGCGACCGGCGATGTTAACCAGATGTCGACCGGAACGCTGTGAGACGTACGTCGCTGCCTTGAACGCCCCGTCGATGAACGCCAGCACGGGGAAATCACGCTTCAGAATATCCACCGCCCGTATGATTTGAACTGGCATAGCCTTTTGCAGGCTTCCGCCTTCTTGCTTCGCAATAGGTGAGAGACGCCCGGCACATGCGGTTTCGCAGATGACCAGGGTCGCATACCAGTCGCCATTGATGTCCAAGATGAAAATCTTCTCCTGTGGTTTGAACCGGAAATGTGTACCCCGTAAGCGAAACGTTGGATATTTGCGGGATTCCGCGGAAAACTCCAGCGGACCTTTATCATCGGCAGTAGTGGAATGTTTGCGTTGAAAAATTTTGCAGGTCTCTTTCGGGTGGAGGAGACCATTCTACCGAATACAGATACTACAGTGTACATGCAAATAGTGTATTTCAACGACGGTCGGAACATAGAGGTCATACCTTCACGGGTCCGTCAGCCAGTTGAGAGTCGGTCAGCAGCGGAAAGCGCACAAGGAACAAAGCGGGACCCAACATCCGGCGGCGATTCTTTGGACAAGGAGACAGATTCTTGCGAGCGCACGCGGCCGCCGCCCACCTACGTATACACATAAGCACCTCAAAGTGTTGCAACACATGTACTGCAAATCAGGTAATTAAAGACCGGAATGCTGGCGAAATGCTTCACGGCTTCCGTACACGGAATCATACGCATAACTCGATAACTCCCAAAATTCCTAATGTAGATATTAACTGCGTTCCTGCTATTACTGTTAGATAATCGATTAACTTAAAAAAAATTCTGCACCTTCAAGATTCGCTATCTGATTAAACTGCCGAAGACGTTCGTCGTTCGCAGCAGCCGACAACCACGACCTGCAGAAATTGGGTGACAACTTACCTTTCGACAGCGGTGTAGATGACGTTCTCCACTGCCGACAGCGTGTTACGCTGCAGGATCGCTTCGAGCGTCGACCGTTCCAAGCTGCTAAAGTGTTCCGATTGGAAAACGGCTCCGCTGGACGCATCCACTACATCCCAGCACGCCTCCAGGAGAGCATCATACTGCGGTGTCCAGCGCAGCGCCTGTGGACGACACCCTACCATTATCAGACTGTTGGCAGCCCGCTCTGCATCCTAATTAATTCTACGCACATTTTCCAGATACACCAAACAGTTATCAGGCTTCAGCTGCCCGAGGATGAAGTCAGTGCACGCTTCGGCCAGCCACGGTAAATCGTACTTGTCGGCGCAGTAAAGAGTCGGCACGGCATTCTCCTGTCGCATGTTTTCCACCGCACCCGCGTAGATGAAACTTTAATTGCAAAATAATACAAATTCTCATAAAAATTTTATTGTGCATCCAGAAACCATTGCGCCTACCTGAGCATGTTGGAGAAGGCGTCGGGAGGGACATCGGGGATGTCGATGGCCGTGTCCGTGCCTTGTGGCAGACTCCCGTAAAACATGGTATGGAATACGTCGCTGCTAACGCTCAATGTCAACCTATCGGACAAATCAGTCTGCTGGCCTTATGTAAATAATTAAAGCATTCACTTGCCACCACGAGGCAACATCATGCGATCTGCAAGTGTTTTGAACTGTTTTCGTTCGTTCAAATGGTGCCTGTTCTACGATGTCCTATTGCCAACCACCAGCAGATGTTGAATGTTAGCGCAAGTAATACAGCGAACTGCAGTCAACTTTGCCCCCACTCATTCATGGTCCGTGGTAAATTAACTTATTAGTTAACTTAGTTATACGCTTACTGCAGTTTACAAAGTTGTTAAACAACATACTTGTGGGCTCGGAAGATCTTCACTTCGCCAAACTGGCGTCCGACGGCGAACTCCACGTCGCTCAGCTCACTCCTGGCCAGCACTTTCTTCCAGCGTTGGCTGATTTGGCCTAAGGCGCCTCGGCGCCCGAAGCTCACAACTGATGTCATTGCGTGTGCCATTCCAGCTGCAACCTGCAGTCAGGGAATAAGTTGAGTAAATGGTTAAACGTAGCTACCACGACAGCCGATTCGCTGCGAATATGAATAACGAAGCCCCACTTGATATTCGTGCAATTTGCGGATTTGCCAGAGACAAGTTACGAGTACAAAATTAATGACGTAGGATAACGAGGGAGAAGCTGAAATCATCCGCTGACGGAGCCGAATGTCCTCTCCGCCTACCTTTGTTTCCGGGGATAAACCGTCTAACACCGAAATTTTTAAAAGCTAAACAATGATGAGAAGTGAGTACATACTTTGCAACTTTGGTAACAACAAAACGAGAAAGTGGAGAACGCTGAAAACGAAAACCTTAGAATGGTAGCTTGCTGATTGAGGTTGCGCACAAAGGTAACTGTCTACTAGGGGCGGCTAATCCGGCTGGCTGCGTTGACGTATGAGAAATTGAGAATTAAGCGGGAAGGTATAGTACGCATTTCCGGCAAGCGATTCCAGCAAGTGCATTGCGCACACCGGAAGTAAGATACAGCGTAGCTTACTCCTGGTGGAGGCTGCAATGTTTCAACAGTACTGTACTTCCCGTTGCATTCTGTACAAAATATTATAGAAATTAGAATATATCTATAGATATAGACCGTAGAGCTAGTTCAAGTAATGCGTTCATCGGGCCGTCGTGATACCTGATTTAATTTTTGTATGCGCAAGCACAGTACTGTTTTTTTGTATTTCCAGTGCACTGTATTGATATTACAGGAAATTATCGGGTTCCGTGTTCAGTCCAGCTGAGGACTGCGATTCCAAAGAGTGAGAAAGACCATCATTTATGCTTCGATTTTGCATACTTCTACGTACTTTGTATGCTAGATAATGCTACGAGTATGTACAATTGTACTGGCCGGTATACTATTGTATATAGATATAGTCATATTATCTAGATAATTATAGTGTAGATATACGCAACACGATAATTATAGAAATCCACCGGCTGCGTCGCTATGAGTGCAGTACGTGTAGGTACTTCAGTATGGGTACAGTGCAAATAGGTAAATAAGTACAGGTAAATAAAGAAAAAAGAAACAAGAATGAAAAGTAGACGTACAGCTGCTACATAGTAATGAACAATAATTAAAACAGATTGAACAACATGGAAACGGTCGACGACGAAAACAAATGTAATATTGTTAATTAATCAAAACAATCCACAAGAAACAGTAACATCTTCGAAGTACGACAAGTATTCCGAAAAACACCAGAACGCTTATTCACCGACAAGCTAGCAGGCCTATAGTGCCGCATGGAACCGGTACATTTCATATAGTAACTAGTCACCGAATATGTTCTCCATAACACTACTAGTACTTTTTGGCCGCTATCCACGCGAGATCGACCAGTTCCCCCGCGATCTACAAGCCCGTATTAAAACTGCACAATGTAATCGCGGCCGGCGACGCTGACCGTATGCCAACCCGAACGCCGTGACCCGTACGTTTCGTCCTTAAAATTTCCGTCGATGCGTAAAACCGGTCGACCCCGCTTTAGAATATCCGCGGTTCGCACGGTGCGCTTGGGTGAGACCAATTCGCCCTGATATCGATCCGTTGCGTCTTTTATGGCAGGAAACGTTTCCAGGAGGTAGTCGCCGCTGACGACTTACACCGGGTACCAGAAGCCGTTGGAAATTTATTGACAAATTGTACAAGCTAAAAGCCCTTTACACTTGAACCTGATATTATTTATTATAGCCGTTGGTATTATTATTTTTCCCACAGTAGCCAACTTAGTGAGCATAAGCTAATGAAGATATCTTACCAGGCTATTGGAAAGTTTTTGGTACATACTGAAAGTTTATACTTTTTTTCGTTTGATTGTATGAGATAAAAATCACCCAACCTACTTAGGAATCGAGCCCAGGACGTATAATCTTAAAGCTGCAGAAGTACTTAGCTGTATTTACTATTACCAGCTAGGCTATGGGCAGATTATCATAATTTCATGTTATTCTGTTACTGTATTCGTAAATAACATGAACAGCTTCCCGGTTTGTCTGTTCTGGTATTTGTAGCCTGTAGGAGATCCGTCACACTAAGTGTTTCCGAAGTTCCGTGGGGAAGTGTAGCGAATCTTGGGTGGTTCTGTGCTTGCTCACATAAATTTTGCACATTTCTCGATGACCCAGTAGACTGCTCTGTAAGTGCAGATAAATAAAGAGGCCTAGTTATCGAGAAATGACAGCATCACTGCACTCCTGTGCGTCAAAAAAGGAACTTCAGTTTCACGAAAATCCCGAGACTGTCCATGTTAAAGAACGGAAATCTAGGGACTTCCGGCGTATGACAACGTTGCAGCCGCTCAGTGTGGCAGCGTAATGTACGTTTTATTTTGGCATTGTTTGAAAATTCCCCTTTTTAATTTTCATAACAAAAACCGACTTTTTCTGCACTACTTCCATTAGAAAATTAAGCATAAACTACAAAAAGCCATTTCCTGATCTTGTCAGTTAGTGTATGGATAATGGAACTGTTAGCACTAGCTGTAATATTTCCCGCTCTATTTACATCGCGTGCTTATTGCTTCGCCAGGACAGATCGGTTGATTCGTCTGTCCTAAAAAGACGCATTTTTTCTTACAACTTTGAGTAGATTTTAGTAACTCACTTTTAATTTCGTAACGGGAGTAGTGCGGAAATACGAACATCAACAACAAAGCACTAAGAAGGTTCAAAAACACGCTGCATAACCCACTGTAAACCCACTATTCGTATAATCCACTGCCACACCGAGCCGGTTGCACCCCGGAAGTCCTTAAATCTTTTTCATTTCAAATGTTCAGTGTAGACGTTTTCGTGGAACAAAAATTAAGTTAAAGAGAAAAGAAATTTCTGCGAGGGTACAAGAAATTCGGAAGGAAATCGGTTACGTGCATTAAAAGCTACGCGTACTGAAGCGGCCATGCGCGCGTCTATAAGGAAAACAATCACTCATGTCCACCGCAACGGGTCCGCTAGCCAGCTGAGCGTCAGTCATCAGAAGAAAACGAACAAGACGCAACGCAGGGCCGAGGATTTTGCGGCGACTGACGGGGACTGATTCTTGCGAGCGCACGCGGCCTCAGCCCATCTAAGGAAACCACATATTCCGGAAACACCAGCCAGTTACATTTAGAGAAATCACAATCATTTTCCCGTAAATATAGCTGAGACACCTTGCAAGTTGCCGATTAGCCGTAAGCATCCTCCTGGACAGCCGTGTAGACGAGATTCTCCTCCGCCGACAGTGTGTCACGCTGCACAACCATCTCCAGCGTTTTCCGCTCGTAACTCAGTACAAATAATCCGACAGGAGAGCGGCCTCGCCAGACGCATCCACCACGACCCAGTATTTCTCCCGTACAGGATCCCAATTTGTAGTTCAAGCCGAGTTGAAGAAGATCGACTTGATACAGAAGAATTGCCAACGAATCGGCCATGTATGCTGTAATAGGAATCCTAATATCCTATCACAGCACGCATGCCCGATTCGTCGGCAGTGCGATATATCCTGTCATCACTGCCAATTCCCAGGTACATCCCAGCAGTTGTCGGGCTTTTGGTCTGCTCCAGCACGACGTTGATGCACAGTTCCACACTGTGCTGACAAGTACGATTTAAGTTGGTTACCAGCACAAATCATACTTATCAGCGCAGTACAGAGTCTGCAGCGGGTTCTCCGGTTGCAGATCGGATCCACTGGGATCAATGTAAATGTGGCTGCCACACGAAAAAGCATCTACCGAACATGTGTATTTGGACTGTGGAAAATAAATTTCACCTCCTATTTCAGCATTTTGGCGACAGCAGCGGGAGGAATATCCGGGGAAAAATGGCTCTGCCAAATTCCCGTAGAACACGGAATGGGATCCATTCCATCAGGGCGGACGCGTAGACTGAAACATCCGCACTTTCCGCAGCGATGTATTCCATACCAGGTTCCTTCAGATTCGAGGAAGCCCAGATGTTGTGTACCTGTCATCGCAGAATCAACTACAAGTAACTAGTAACTACAGACACGAGTAGTGGCGTACCGACATTTCGGCATAGGGACATTTCGGCATAGGACACTTCGGCATAAGACATTTCGGCATAAAACCATTTCGGAATAGGGACATTTCGGCATACGGCCATTTCGGCATAAAATCTTCGAGTAAATAATTAATGTCTAAGAAATTTATTAACCTATGAAATTAACCGAAACTTAGAAATCTATGAACCTAGCAACGCTAAAAATTCCAAAAAAAAATAAAGAACCCAAGAAAATCTAAACCTCTAACAAATAAAGAAAACATTAACCTCAGGAAAATAAAACCATAGGAAGCGCAGGAAAAAACAAAAACATAAGAAATTGTATGAAAACCTGAAACAACCTAAGAAAACCCAAGCAGCCTAAATAGGCCCAAAAGGACCTAATAACACCTAAGAAAACCTAAGAAGGCCAAGAAAACCAAACAAGACTTTAGAAAACATATTAAAACCTAACAAAATCTAAGTAAACTTAAAGTCCCAAATTACCTAAGAAAACCTAAGAAGCTTTAAGAAGCCAAACATAATCTGAGAAAACATAAAAAACCTAAGAAAATCTAAGCCGAACCTAAGAAGGGCTAAAAAAGCTAAGAAAACCAAATAACCTAAGAAGAAAGAAGATTTAAGAAAACCAAACAACCTAAGAAAATCATACTGAACCTAAAGAGCCCCAGAAACTTGAAATGGCAACTACATTAAAAAGATTGTTTAAAGATATTCCAATGAAATTATTGGATGAAATGTGGACCAAAAAAATGATATTATGGGAAACAGAAACGGAAACACATGGAAATGTCTATATTATGCCGAAATGTCCTTATGCCGAAATGTCCACATGCCAAAATGTCCCTATGCCGAAATGTCTTATGCCGAAGTGTCCTATGCCGAAATGTCCCTATGCCGAAATGGTCGGACACGCAAGTGGTAAGTAGTTGCATAAAAATAAAAAATTCTAGCATATAACAAGCATAAATGCTATCGTGTCTACAGGTTCCAGGCAACTTCCAGCTCGGAGCTCCAGAATAAGAATCGAACATCATTTCTGGATAAAATCTTAAAAAATTGTTGGCCTTCCTCAGATTCCTCTTACATTTGTTCTAAATAAACAAAAAGATCAAAAAAAGCCCAAAAACAGAGAAGACAAAGTCACAACGATGATAGATTCTGCAAGCGAGCTGGCGGACCGGAAGGGAGTTTAAAAATGTAGCTATCGACGTGGGGGTGGCTGCAACATACGCAACTGTCGTGAGCGACGATCGCAAAACTGATCGCAACTCAAAAGCAGTTATCGTGACTACAACTTTTCGCTGAAAAATAAAATTTTACCTTTATTTCTGGATAAAAATCCCGTAAAATGACTAACCTTCCTTTAACCTGAAAAGGAAGAAAAAGGAGTGAAACCATAGAACACAACTCGAGCCAACAGTGAGCCAGCAGCACTGACTTGTGAGTGCAGATCGGAAGAAAAATTTAAGAATGTAGCTGTCAGCTGGGGGCGGTCGCGTGGGCTGGTTGCCTGGCTGACGCAGTGGCCGGGGACCAATCGCCATCGAGCAGGCGCGCATGAGTCACGCCAGTAATGGTCGACTTGACGATTGGGGTGCAGCGGCACAGCACAGTGTGCGTGAACCAACGTGAACACGATATGGTTTTTTCTGTGGTGCAATATTACAGCCAGCGTTGGACGCAGGATCGATGGCGAAGAGAGTTATGCCATAGTTTTTCACACAGCGCACTCGTGTTGTTTTCCTGCTGGTTGAAGCCTGGTTCTAATTGGATTTCACGCCATTATCCTGGGAACCTTAAATTTGCGGATTGAATTTATGAATTTATGATTGATCATTCATATCTTGATGTTGTTTATGTATGCAGGTAAGAAAATCTGCTCCAACTGACGGAAATATCTCGAACGAGGTTTTCATGTTGTTCTTCCGTTTTTCTTGTTTGTCGCTTACGTAATACACGGTAACTTGGCCATTCTGTCAACAAGCTCCAGATTTGTTTTCTTCGGACTTTTTCAACGTGTTTCGGGGTTTTGAACATTGTACGTTGCAGGTTTTGATTATTTTTCGACATGACTTGTGAGGTTTCAGTTAGATTGGTTCGTAAGAATGATTAGAACTGCAGCTAATTATCAGCTGAAGAAGATTCGGGAATTTCGCTGTAGATTACACTCGAATTCGAGTGTTGATGCAGCGACCTGTAGAACGCTTTGAAAAACTTTTTTACGTTCATCTCCCTTTTGTACAATATTTTAATTTTACAAATTTTGCTGTATTTTATTAATTTATGCAAAACTAATCGACACAGGATTCTTAATTGGTCAGCCGTTGGTGTTAACATGAAGCTAATGATTAATAATAACATTTTTTTTTGATTTTCGAATTTTATTTACAATTTACTGATTTAATCTGATCGTTTTCTAGGAGATTCTGGTTAATAGATTATTTTCCTTAATTATTTCTTTTCAGTGAATTTGTCTGTGTCGAAACTGGAAACCGTTAACAGCTTATAATTGTCTAATAATATTAATATTATTTTTCTGTTTGGAATTTATTTGTTTGGCAAATTTTTTCAGTCGTTTTTCGAAATCTGACGGTTAAAGATTGTGTTATTTTCGTTAAATTACTGACCAGTTACTGAGTACTTCGATAAATTCGTTTATTGCCAGATTTTGGGGAGTTTAGGATTCGAACACCGTGCATAATTAAATCCAAGTAACAATTCAAAAGTGAAGACAGGTTCGCAACGGCTGGAAGTGCTATGTGGTATTTTCATTGCTTATATTTCATTATCGTGTTTACCGTTATTCGTAAAATTAATGTAAAAAAAATGCGCTAACGCTGTCTAGCTGTATGAGCCACATATATTGGAATTTCTAGTGCCAATTTTTTTTAAAATGAACTCAGGATCGTGAAAACGCTGTGTTGCCATTTTGTTGAAGTACTTCGTTGATAGTACTCGAGGTTCTTTCGAATTCAGATTCTGGTTCTTTTCTAAATTTTCTCAAAGCATCTTTTGTACAAGTGCACCGTCGCTAAATTCACACAAAAACTTTGCTCAGGAAAATTATTTTAGTATACTGTATGCAGTAATTAAGATTTAAGACTTAAGTAAAAGTATAAAAAAATTGAAATATTAAAATAAAGAAATATAAATAAAATATTACAGAAAACTCCTGTGTTAAAAAAATTTGTAATCTTGTATATGTATCATCTTGAAGCGTTTTGTTGACGTCGGCATGTTTCGCAGGATGACAGTGGAGTTTGCACTTCCCAGTCGAATCTTTGTTTATTAAATTCCGCGGCAATCGACTCCTCAAATATGGCCGCGTGTTCGCAATCCCGCAGCGGCGGCGGCACCCGCCACACCACGGCGCGCCTCGTGGCGTCCCTCCCGGAACGTCGCCAACTGCGGCCGCGCCGCACGCATCCCGCCCCGGTCTCCCGGGGCCCCCTCCGGCGTCCCGTGGCGGTGGGGAAGACCCGCCGGCGACGCCACACCACCACCCCGCGCCAGATCCCGGCGCGCTCCAAACCGGAGCCCCGGCGGACGGGCTGCGTGCCCACGGGGGTCCGGAACCGGCCGACGGTCAATCACAACTACCTCCTGCGGTCGCGCTCCCCCACCGACGCCCGATTGCTCGGGACGGGGGTGGCGGAGCCCGGGAGTGTGCGGGGCTGACGTTCCCGCCCAAGCGCACCTCCACGTCCAGTCGCGGTGAGAAAACACTGCCGGAAACCCTCGCCAGGGTCGACAGCGTGATAAATTGCCCTTTTTGCAGATAGTGGCATCGATTCGGCCACCGGGACGTCGGACTCGGAGGATTCCAATGCCAGCGGCTCGGAGATGTCGGTGGCCGTGTCGCGGAGCATTCCCACGGCGGAGAGTGTCCTGGCGCCGTTGTCGACGGGGAATGAGGTGCCGGTGGTCAGTTCGGAGCCACAAAACAATCCTGATACAGGTACGGACTACAGTTTAAGTACTTGTTTAATCATCTCATCAGTTTTAGGATAGAAAAATACCCAGATTTCCAAATTTAAAGAGCATTAAATAAGAAATTAATTAAATTAATGTTGTGCTGACATTTGCTGCCGCTTGATTCATTTTTCAACGCTTTTTACTTTGTTTCCATTGCCTAATAAACGAATGACTAATACAGTTAACGAATAATCTGATAGTCACTTTGAAAGAAAAATTAGTGGGTTCGAAAATAGTTATTTATCTACAGTAGAAAATTAGGACAGAGAAAGATTAAAAGCATTAAAAATGATTTTTAATAAATTGTAGTAAATGCAATTAATTCTTAACAAAACTAAAACTTACCGGTCTTACCCTATCTTATTTTATGGGGAAAAAACAGTAGGATGTTTTTATAGGGTTTATTTTTACTTGTTTGTAACGGTTAACGCCGTTTCTAATTATAATGAAAAATAGTTCACAATTTCGAAATTTCAGTATCGACCACTGCGCTCTTCACACAGAACCATACGAACGAATAACTGAGAAGAGTCACTGTTCTACAATTTTGTCGATACCCATACGCAGTGATGGTTAATACTTTTTGAAAATCCCATGTAAAGACTTTAAAATCTAAATAAATGCAGCCTCACGAAATTTTTACCACTAAGATTTACTGCATAAATCGCGAATTATAATACAAACAAAAATTTTGTTTACCACACAAACATACTGCTTTATGTTGAAACAATTATTTTCAAACTCTTGTTGACTGACAAGATTATTGCCGAGTTTCTACGCGTCAGTTCACCTAACAAAAAGAAGGAAGTTTTGTCAGTATGCAGTTGAACTGTTTGGCAACGAATGTATTCAACGTTCTTTTACACAGGCTTCGCTGATGCTGGTTTTTGCGAGGAGACTCCGGAAGAACCTACCGCAACCGGAAGTCCATCCAAACGACCGCTCACCCCGACATCCGACAACTGTCCCCCCGCGGCGGATGCCCCGCCCGCCACCGCCGACTGTCACGTCAGCCACACCCTGCTGTGCGGCAGCGCGGAGCGCGAGGACATCCCGCAGTTCCTGCAGGACATCGACGACGTCATCAGCGCCGACAACAGCCAGGCGGACGAGTCGCACGTGTCCAGCAACGGCCTGCCGGATCTGCACTGCCACAGCGTCCTCAACGACTCCACGGCCACCATCAGCCAGGAGATTGTCCTGCAGCAGGAGCGCTCCACGCTCAGTGCCGACGCCGGCGGCGGGATGACGTTTACGACGCAGAAGATCACCACGACGTACCTGTATACGGCGTCCGCCGGCGAACTGGAATTTGTGTAAGTTTTCAGTGGAAAATATATGTTTTCGTTCACAAACGGATTAGCCATAAAGAAATGGTGATTATAAGCTATTTCTGGTAAAAATTATAATAATTTTTTAACCCGGCGGTCACTTGAGTAACTAAATGGTGCAGTAATTGAAAAGCAAATTAATTAATGAAATAATAGAGGTGAAAAGCAAATTAATTAATGAAATAATAGAGGAATTAATTTACTCAAAAAATTACAGAAATATAGTAGTAATTAATAACTAATGAAATTGGCGAATTAGCACAGTAACTGAGAACTCAAGAAATTATAGAAATATGGTAGTGATTAATAACTAATAAAATTAGCGAGATAAAAGAGTAACATTTAATAATTCAAATAATTACAGAAATAATATTAATTAGTAATCTAGTTATTTAGCAAAATAATGCAATGGTCATTTAGTGCAGTAGCTAGCAAATTGTGGCAGTTATTAACGAATAAATTTGGTCAGCCAAAGCACTTCGAACACATAATACCGATTGGATTAATTATAAACTGCATGAGTTAACGGAAAACCGTGGAAAGTAAAAACAAATGTTTTTCTGCTTGCAGAACGGAGATTTTCCGCACCGTGCAGCGTTTGTCGCCGGCCGTCCGAACGCCGGGTCTGCTCCCTCCAAAGACACGATCCTGTCCCAAATTCACACTGATTCTGGATTTGGTAAGCTTAGAAAAAGTTGTTGGTTATATTTGTCGCAGCAGTCAATACTGGAATTAAAATGTTACAGTATCCTAGTATTAGTTTTTTAATTTATGAGTGTAATTGTGATAATGAATTGCGACGCTTGACAGGATGAAACGCTGGTGCACTGCTTCACGAACGACCCGCCGGCCAAGTACGACCACCACTTTACGGTGCGCGTGCCGGATCTGTCGGGCGGCAGCGGGGAGAACCCGGAGCTGGCGGTCTTCGCCCGACTGCGGCCGTTTGTGAAGGAATTCCTGACGCGCATGGCGCGCCGCTTCGAGGTGGTCGTCTTCACCGCCTCCATGAAGAGCTACTCCTCCAAGATGCTGGACTTGCTGGACCCCGATGGATCTCTTATCAAGTATGCCACCCCAACACTGAACGACTTCCGGTTTATCCAATCATAGAACTGAAATTAAGAGAACTGCGAAACTAAAATAAATGTGTAATCCCTACCAAACAGTACTCCGGTCTTATTGGCGTTCTTGAGGCGCGTGGCATCGAGGCTGTACACTGTAGTAACGAGTTCTCACTGTTAGATCTCTACGTTTTTCTCAAATTAAAAATAATTGTGCATTTAATTATTTTTTAATTGCTGAAGAATTTTTAATTCATTCTTTTGAATAATCTTTTATTAGTTTTAATTTTTGTGCAGATTTATTACTGATGTTAATTTTGCTTGTTTGGATTTTTTGAAAAACGTTAAAGAATTTAATTGCTACTTTTTTTATTGGTTTTAGTTTACTTATGAAGATTCATTATAAATATCAATTTACTAGTGTCGTTTATTTTTCCAGTTTTGAATTGAATAATTTAATAATTGTTTGTGTGCAGATACCGGTTCTACCGTGACCACTGCATCCCCGTGGGCTGCTCCTTCGTGAAGGATCTGTCCATTTTCGCGCGGGACCTGTCCAAGATGATCATCGTCGACAACCAGATCGCCTCCTTCGCCTTCCAGATCGAGAACGGCATCCCCATCCGCAGCTGGATCGGCGACGATGACGACCGGGAGTTGTTGGCGCTGGCCGACTTCCTCGAAGCCATCGCCGATGACGAGGTACAGTCGGTAGAAAAACTTGGAATGCGCGTAATATATTAATGATAAGCAGAATGGGTAGCCAATAAGCTGACATAATTACCGTGTGATCGTAGTGTAGTGAGTACTTATGACCTTTGTTGGCCATTTCAATGAGATCGGAGGTTCACTTGTTTTCCGTGGTGATCGCAGTTAATGGTACCGTATGGGTAGAATTGGTATTTTTGTAATTCCAAGTTATGTTATTTTCAAAAAATTGTGCCAAAGTGTGGATCATTCATCGGAAAAAAGCCAAAGGGGTGATTTTAATTAACGGTGTACGTCGGTAAAAGCATGCAAGGCTGTGGTAAACCCAAAAATTAATGAAACAAATAAAAAACATTTATTCATTTACTTACTTTATTTTAATCAATTTTCCTGTTTTATTAAATTTTTGGTTTTATTATTTTATACAGTTGAACTGCATTTTTAATGCAGTTTATAATGCATTTAATACGGTTAAGGCATAAGCAATATATTAATAATAAATTAAAAAAGTCGGTACTTGCAGACTAGTGTTAAATCATTAAAAAGCATTAGTTTGACGACGATGCGCCGTTGGTGTAGGAAGTGGATGTGCGCAGCGTGATCCGGGAATCATTGAAAATCCACCGCCAACTGCAGAACCACGTGGACACCTACTACTCGCAGCACTACCCCAGCACTCCCGTCTGGACCATGTCCGCCCCGGCGTCGCCCGTCTTCTCCAGCTTCACACAGCCGCCGCCGCTGTGCGACACCATGGACACGACGGAATCTTGACGAGTATTCCAAAGACGACACACCGACGATTATTCCCAGTATTAATTCAAACACAAAGCGGCAATTTTGGACGGAATTGTATGGAATTAAATAATATGGATGGAAGTGAGTGAAGGGGATGTGGATTGCTCGGGTGGACTGCCTCGGACCAGTATTACAACGGAAAAGCGGAAGGAAATACAGGAGATGGGATTTTATTTCGATTTATTCGGATGTTTCGCCTTCTTTTTCGCGTACGGTGTTTAAAGAGAGAGAGAGAGTTGTTTTAAAAAGCGGAGTTTTTGACTACAAAGTGTGTGTGTGCAGTTTTATTTCAGCGGATTTATTGAGAAGTTTTTTCGTTTTCGGCTGCACCCCGGTTTTTTTGGGATATTTTATTTCGGAGAAGGGCCTTAAAATCAGCGGATTAATGGTGTTTGTGCTTATGTAGAGTTTTGGAGAATTATTGGTGTATTTTCGTGTCGTGTGGCGTTCTTTTCTTCTGTAAGTCTTTTTTTTTAGGTTTTAGCAGCCTGCGTTGGTGGCGGGTTGTTCGCTGTGGTTTTTGGTTTTACAGATTTTTAGTTTTCTTTTTTTGGCGATGTTTGACAATAGTTTCTCGCTGCCTGCTGGTTAATAATACAGGGGAGTGATGGTTAGCGCGATGTTTGGTGTCGGCAGTAAATATTCGTGTTCGATGGAAAATGATTACCAGTTGCGTTATTCCCGCTAAATTTTGCCGTTTTTTATATTGTAAAATTCCGGTAATTATTACGGCTTGTCGATAATAATAATATTAACGGTTGTGTCGATCTTAAAGTCTAATTGCTTGATAATTTTAAAAGTTTCAGAACACAAAATTCTTTCAGAATAAAATGCTTACAAATAGCCTGCACTCCGCTCTACCGCAGTTTTTTTGTTTTTATTAATTAAAATTGCGAATATAATGTCAGCGAATTTTACTCGATATTCCGGTGAATTTTGCTCGATATTACGTTGCTTTATTGCATTATTTTTAAAATACAAAAAACTAACGACAACGTTATCGGCAAAAACTGCATGAAGATTTGAGAAGTTCCAGACTGAATCATACATATTGATAACGTTAAATCGTTAATAAGCTACGATACTTCACGCTAAATCTGAAGGCGTACGGAGCCCTTACACTACAATGCGCTCGGTCTGCCTAGGAAGTAATATCGTTGTCGCCTGATAAATGTGTAAGTTTTGTGAGCTTTTGCCAGTTTCGAAACTGCACTTCACAAATAAATACGTGACTATTCACACAAATCAGCGCCGGTTCTTTCGGTGAACGAAAATGACGACAATTTATTCCTTTTACGCACTGTACATCAATCGCAACAATTAAGACTGCCAGATTATGCCATAGCTGCTCGCGCTTTCCCATATCAACAATCATTTTTGACTAGTCCCAATGCAGACGAAAAAAACACATGAAAAAACATCCCCATCTCGCACCGGCTTCCCTTCACAGTGAGAATATAGTGGAATATAAATTCACCAATTAACTCCCAGTTAATTACGCCAATTAACCGAAATTAATCAAATTTAAATCATCAAAATTATTCAGTTGATTCACTACTGAATAAAAAATCAACCAAAAAATTCCAGTTAATGAAAATCAATTTAGGTAATTAATCCAAATCAATTAATCTAATTAATTTAAAATCATTCAGTTAATTTGTTATTATACAAAAAATCAACTAAATAAATCCAATTAATTAAATCAATTAATCTAGGTAATTAATCCAAATAAACGGAATAAAAAATCAATTAATTATGGAAAATTCACAATTAAACGGGCAGATCTTTGGTGTCGAAGGGCGACGTCAACCCCGGCGTCACCCGCGGTTGGGTGGCCCGGTGCCCACTCCCACTGGAGCTCCCCGCCTCCTCGTCCATCCCGCGATTCTCCAACCCCCCGGGGGCGGTGTGGGGCGGCAGCGGCGTCCCGCCGTCCTCCTCCTCCAGCATCTCCTCCTCGTCCACCGTCGTCCGCCACCGTTCCTGCCCGAACTGCCGCGATGACGTCAGCAGGCGCGTCAACGGACTGCAGCAGTCGGGGCAGGTGTCCATTAGGGTCGGTCGCGAGTGGGTTAACAAGGGTTTGACGTAGCGGTCGTCGAAGGAGCGCCAGACACGCGCGGCCAACGTTTTCTCGCGGTGGGTGGACGACCGCCCCGGGAGGCTGCCGTAGGCTTGCGAGTCGGTGGAGTCCTCGGCGCCGTCTTTGAGGCGGGAGGGGGTGGTGGAGAGACGCCGCTCGGAGTCGTCGGCGACGCGCGAGGGAATGCGCAGGAAGTTGACGAGACGCGGGGCGGTCGCGCCGGCGGCGGTTACCTATGTACGGCATTTTGTATGAATTTGTTGGGAAGAAATTCCCAAAAGTCGAAGACATACAGATACACTGGACATAAAGTGCGTTAACCAACACGAATACAAGCAGAACAAAATTCCAAGTAACAAAAATACAAATAAAAAATTAAAAAAAAAACAAATAGTGATAATACAGTTTTAAGCATTTCGAGGAAAAATGTTGGGAAAAATACTGATGAAAAAATTTAAAAACAATGCGAAGAATAACAAACAACTAAACAACGAAGTGATAACAATAAATCGGAAAAGCAAAAATAATGCGAAAACCTTCGAACAAAAAATCACATAAATAGGTAGGTAAAAGATTTACGACAAATTCGAGATGAAATCGTAATAAAAAGCTGATAATAAACCGAGAATAATGTGAATAAACTACTACAATCAATGCATTACTAAATTACTAAAAGCAAGAAAAGTTACTAAAATTCATAGAGAGCTGTAGAGTCATGCAATTGGAAAGCAGTAAGACAAACTTCGATCAGAAAAGTAGCTATTTATTGTAATTAACTAAAAATTCCATACACACGAATATACAAGCCAAACGGGTAAATTAAAATCACTATATTACTTATAAAAAAATGATACAAATACAGAAACACTCACCGTGACAATGACAATGATGGATGTGGCGGTCAGAGTGGCCTGCCGGGCTGGTGTCACTGTGTTGCGAATGGCCAACGCGACTGCAAGGAAATAACGTTTATTTAATCATGGGATTAGTTTCCATAAAACCTGGATTCAAAATAAAATCAATAAAAACCTCCTAACAAAAATATTGGTGGGTCAACTTTGTTTTCTAATTATTCAAGAATTCGACTGCTACGAGACGTAATAATGCAATTCTGGAGCAACAGCCACTTTACTACGATCAATCCACAAGGACCGCCAAATTACTGCGAAAATCATGAAAATGATGATGAAAAAATTGCAGGAAGCAACAGTCACACATTAATTGCAGGCTTTTGAAAGTAATAATTGCACAAGCAAGACAAAATCATACTGCGCTTCTGCGAATAATTTCAACCTATTAAACTAATAAAAATTATTTCATTAAATATTCTGACAAAATTATTAAAAAAATAAAATTACTTAAAAAAACCACAACTCGTGAAATAAACAGCTTTTATATTATATTATTCAGGTAGCCCGTTTTGTTAAAATTGTAATCGTTTTCAGCAGTCAGTCCACTTCACTACGATCAATCCACTCGTAGAAACAGCGGCAAATTATTGCCGAATGTGTTTAAAATGAATTTCAAAGTCCAGATTTGAAAATGCAGGTAATTCCAGATTTCAAAATGCAACCCAGATTAATCCCTTAATCCAGATTTCAAAATGCAGATAAATCTTCAAAACAATAAACTGAAAAAATTTTTTGACTACCCTCAGATAAATGATAATTACAAATCACAAAAATAGTGAGAAAACAAGAAAATTACTAGAATTAAATTCACTTATTATCATTAAAAATTATTTAATTTACTACTAATCGGAAAACAATTATTCTGTGAAGATTGCGAAGATGTTCTAGTGCAGTATTCTTACACGACATGGCCCCGCGCAGTCCACTAAAGAAGATCATATGCTGGAAATTCAGCGGGATCTTGCGTTTCCGGCCGAGATTCAGCAGCGCCGAGAGCGGATAAATATTGCACACTCTTCCTAAAATCACCGCCAGGAAGGCCACCAGGATAAAGGTCACGGAGAACCAGTGGTAGGGGAAGGTGAACATGGACACGCCGATGTAGCAGAAGATGAAGTTCTCCGCCAGGAAGCTCAGCAGTTCGAAGAAGAACTTGGAATGGTCCTGCGAGACTTTGGATAGATTGTTGTAGGTGTAGTGGGCTTGGCAGATGCCGCAGAATAACACCGCCACGATGCCGGTCAGGTTGGCCGCCTCGGCGATTAAAAAGCTGCTGTACGACATGATGACGAAGAGCGCCGTTTCCAGCAGCGGGAAATCGGCCAGACGCGTGAATTTGGTTAATAACGCCGTGGCGCAACCTGCAAATTCCGTAAAAATTAGAAGTTAATTTACAAAATTTATTGGATTCTTACAAAAACTTATTTCAAGACAATTTTAGTACGAGCAAATTTATCTGACTATTAAAAGGCAAAAGCCAATAGAAGAAACCAAATTATTTATAAAAAACTCACAAATTAACAAAACATATTTTTAAAAATTGCCGTAAATATTAATAATGATATTAATAAAAAATCCATTGGATTTACGTATTCAGAAAATTCGAAAAAAAATTGCAACGTAATTTCTTGACAAAAATATTGGTGAGTCAACTTCGCTTTCTAATTATTCAAGAAACTGCCAGCTATGTTGACGACCAGTCAATCAGTGAGCCACTCTGCTACGATCATTCCACAATGACCGCCAAGTTTCTGTTAAAATTCATGAAAGTATTTCCATTTCAGTGCTTTGAATGACTTCAGACCAGAAAACTGTTTTTTTTCCCGTTTATAACGCCAACTGCATTTGCAAAGTTAATTATCCTCGACATTCAAAAAAAGCCCAAGCACTTATAAAAATATTAGATTAAATAAATACTTATATAAGAAGAGAAACTATCAAAAATGAAAACTAAACCGTTTTGAAGCTGTGCATTTGTTTCTAAAAACGAAAATTAAATTAAAATGAAAAGTCGGAAATGAGCATCCCGAAAAGTTTTTGTAAAAATAATTATGCACTGTTGATAAAGGATAGCTGACTAACCCAAAGCAGCGCCCGTGGCGAACGATCCAAAAAACACCCCGAAAAAATTCCCGAAGGCTTTGAAGAGTGCCCCCATCTGGAAGTCTTCACCTTCCTGATACTGACTAGCGTAGTTCTGCACGGAGTTGGCGAACACGATGGCCACGGCGTCATTGAGGGCGCTCTCGCCGAACACGATGGCGTGCAATGTCACATCCACGCGGATGTCGTGAAAAATAGCTAGGATCGTCACGGGATCGGTGGAGGAAATAATCGAGCCGAAAAACAAACAATCTACGAATTAAAACCAATTTAAGTTCGATAAAGTCTTAAGTAAAACGCAAATAAAACCTAAAAGCGATTGGTTATGTAAAAAAATAATTTATTTTGCTGATATTCAGATCAATCACAAATCAAATAATAAATGAACGGAAACCGGGAATAGACCAAACAACAAAAGACAAGTACTCAGCATTTTAAGCAGCAACAGCCAGTGCAGTTATCGGTATGCTTCCGCAGGTTTGCACTAATTAAAATGATTGAATTTTAAACACTGAAAAAACACCCAAAATAATTACTGAGAGAAGATAAATTAGTCGTGCAAAGACGGACATAAAGTTTGCAGAGCGTACCGTAGTGCAATGGCTCCAAAAAAACGCGATGAAATAACGTAGCGTGCGAACTGGCGTTTGGCAAAACTAATGTTGGGTATTAATTTCATTTTCGGTTAAGGATTAATTTTTCACACTTTGATGTAGTGGCGCTTTTATTTGAAAAGCTATTTATTTTTAAACAATACGACAGCGAAATGCTGAATGCAAAGCTAACTCATTTGATAAGCACGAAAAAACAGACGCTACAATAAAATGAATTATTTAAGTTTAAATTACAGATTAAATTGTTAAGCTCAAACTAAAAATTACTTATGATTAAAATAACTAAAAATTAAAATACATATTTTCCGCGGTTTTACCGTTGAAAGTGAACGACATCGACGGCATCAGCCGCGTGAATGCGAAGGTAATCGCTGCCACCACGAAAATGGAGATACTCGTCCCGAAGATCGCAAAGGTGAAAATCGCCCCGAAATTCTGGAAGAAATGCCGGCGCTTCATACTATACCCCGCCGAGAAGATGATGGGCGGCAGGACAATATTAAAGAAGATCTCCGGGTCGAACGTGGCCTTCTGCTGCAGCATCCGGTCCTTGGTGACGTCGCGGTGCACTTCGCCGCGCAACTGGTACTCGAAGGTGCGGTTCTCCCAGCGAGCGGGGTTGCTCTTCTTCACCTGCAGATCCAGGTACACCGTCTCCGGGGCAGCGGGACCTCCTGGACGAGGGGGGCGGTGGTGGTGGGCGGGGTGGAGGCGTTTGGGGGGAGGACGCTGGCCGGGGCGGGGAGGACCGGGAGGGTCACCAGTTGGACGGACATGGGCGTCACTTCCGTTGCGGAGCCGGCGTACCTGCAACGGCACCGTCAAAATTTACATTCTAATTATATTAATTTGTTTGATATTTTTTTATAATAAAAATTAGCTTTATTTGTCCATTTATTCAGTTATATTGTTTTATTGTAAAAAACTTCCGAACTGCTTCCGTCGCGGAGCCGGTGTATGTACGTGTACGGTACCATCAAATTTTTCTTAATTTTGTAAATAATCTTGATAATTTATTTTAAATTTTAATAATTTAGATAATTGGGCATATCTGGCGTCTGGCGATACTACAAATCCTGAAAATCCCAAACGTTTGTTAATGTTTCGAATTTTTAGAAATTCGTACATTTTTAACGCTAGATTTGTCATTTATTTAAAAATTAATCAACATTTGCCAACTTGGAATTTAGATGATATTTACGCCATTCGCCAACGCGGTAAACTGTAAAGTAAGAAAAAAGACGATTCATTCTTGCTCACTACATGTCGAGAAACCAGTAGACGCTGTAATGTAATCTGAAAATTCGAATCTACGATTTGGTTAAATATTAACAAGACTGAACACGAGAACACAGAATTATTATTAATACAGTTGCTGCAACGGTGGGCATGTATGATATGGCATTTGGAGAAAATCGTAGTGTAATGGCTGAGAGCCTGCGCGAACACGCAAGTTGCCATTTCAGTGCTTTAAATAACTGCAGCTAAGAATTATAATTTTTCCCGTTCGTAACGCTAATTTTATTTGAGACATTTTTTATACAACATAGTAACAGAATGAGCGTTTTGAAGGGGGAACTCACTTGATGATAGCTCCGACGATGAGTCCGTAGAGTATAGCCAGACCAGTCTCGTGGATGTAGGGAAAACGACGATGCTTGAAGATCCACACCGTCACCACGGTCAGCACCAGCAGCATCAGGTAGATGAGGATGTTCAGCGAGTCTACGCGATGGCTGTAAAAGGGGAAGCAGTGGGTAAACGAAGCTCATGGATCACGAGTAGGGAAGAACGTGTTCGCCATAAGAATGCATGCATCAGCATGAATGCATAGTGTGCAGCACGTGTTCCTTACCTTTCCAGCTCGTGTTCGTCTGTGCGGATCTCGATAGGGACACCTTTCGACGCCGCCATTATAACGGATCAATCAAAAAAGATGGTGATGTGTTTTGTAAATAGCGAGGGCTACGTAATCGATGATAACCACCACAATAACATTTTTTATTGCTAACAGTCAAACACGTCAGAAAAATGAAGACTGGCAGGCACAGTAGTCGAGCCATTTCACTTTTCAACTGCCAGCGCGGAGCGTGTTGCGTTTAGCTGAAGCGACCGCCGCCCGGGGTGGCATAAGGCTGCTCAGAGACGGCGGAAGTTATTTTGTTAAACCAGGTATTTCGAGTGAATCATCCAGTTTATCACACAGCTGTACGAGCAACGCAGTATAACGTCTACATTCTACACTGTACAGTGTCCTGTGTCCAAATAATTTTTTCCTTTCGAGACGATAGGAAGCTCTCGGTCCTACTACCGTTGAGTTTTATCATGGACCGGCCGAAGCGAGCCAGGAAAAAACGCGAGAAATTCGCTCTCTAAGCAATAAAATTGCTAAATTGTTGCAGTACATGTACAGTGGACTGCGAAAAGGTGTTACAACGCGCGTAACCAAGCATTTTTCTGTACTCAGACAGGCAAATTCGTGATTGGCCGTCGGCCTGCTGGTATTAACACTTGCACCTTGCGCATTTTTCACCGAAAACCATCGACCGATATCTCAAACGAAAGAGAAAATTTCAAGAATTTTATACCAAACAAGTGATTTTTTATGAGATCTAAGAGAAAATCGACGCATTTATGTAAAGTTTCTCGTAGACATAGCATAGGATTGAATCCACGGTTTGGATTCAGTTTTCACACGGAAATCGTATGCTTTGTCTACGGCAAACTAAAATGGCTCGAATTTTCTGGTAAATCTCCTGAAGGGTGACGTATTTGGTATCGAAATTTTTGAAATTGTTTTCTCTTTCGTTTGAGATATCGGTTGACGGTTTTCGTTGGGAAATGCGTAAGGTGCAAGTGTTCGAATTCTTGCACGTTTCCTGTTTGTTGGTCATTTGGTCTTGGCCATTTATTTGGATTGGTCATTCGGTCGCGGACCGAAAGTAACAGGTTTTCGCAGTCCACTGTAATTGATGTTGCGTTACATGCTTGTACTTTGTAAATGATAATTACAACCACCAAGCTGCAGACAGCGAAATACATTTGGGATTCATAAACATTAATACACTGAGCGAATAGTGTGTGGTACGCATACGCTAATTAAAAATGAAATTACGTTAACAATATTTAAAATTAATTTACTAAAGGGTACATGGCCTGACCCATGCAGTATATGGCACTAATTAAGGTACCACGGAAACTTTCACTTTCGTGCACTCCCAAACACAATTTTGCACAGCTTTTTTTATGCCTTTGTACGAGTAACCAAATCATTTGTATACTAGGACAGCTTAGTACAAACTACAAGGGTGAGAAAACCGTTTGTTCGCCCAACATTTGATTGGGAAGTGTAGTTAGGGTATGTAGTGTGAATGCGTATCGTAACTTTATTGTCAGTACGAGTATCGTAGCACGATGGGGAGTAACTGAACTGAATAGGAAAGTCGAGAAGCGTAGCTAGGAGGTAAGAGAAGATAGAAGATAGAAAGTATGTAAAGAAAGGAAATCACGAGAACCAGAAGAACCATACATATTACAGGAAGGTTATGGGGAAAATGAATTCCAAAAAGTTTAACTGAAGACGGTGTGCCAAACGTCGTATTAATTATGGGACCGATCTCTTTAAAATTTTGCAGGTAGGTGAACATAAGGACAAAAAATGCAAAAAAACGATCTAAAAAAGTGTTCGGGAGTGCGTGAAAAGAAATTTTCGTGCATGTACACCGTACACGCATTTTTAAGGAATTCTTCAGAAATCTGGTGTAAAATACGGCAACCAGTTAAGAAAGCGGAAAAAAAGTGGGGGAACATACAGGAAGCACACAGAGAATATACTGTCAGGATACAGTAAGATATACTCGGTATACGATTCAAGAAAACAAGTAACTTGCATGAAACTTGCCAAAGAGTAGGTGTGTGACCATGATGAATATTCCGGCGATTTTGGAGTGCTGACACTGTACAAAAATGTTTATTTTTGCTACCTAGCTGAGCAATAAGAAAGCAAGTTTAACGGCTAAAAAATTTAAACTTTAAAAATCTGCCAAAATTTCGTTCTTCTCTGGAGTTATAAAAAGGCAAAATACCGATTACTGTCGCGGTGTTTTCTTTATTGATTTTATTAACCGGCGAGCACGAGTACTGGAATATTTACGCCAGCGTATATCAGCATAAAAATCCAGCGCGGGAACGCGGCCCCCGTCTAGGGAACAGTTTCTCATGCTTGTGCGTGCAATAGTGTAATCACGTGCAATATTTATGAAGTACCTTGTACGCGCAACGTCGAACATTTATTAAAAATTATCCATAAACCGCTGCACAACTTTCCTACTGAATATAAAACGGATACTTCGACTTCGTTCGTAAACCGATCACTTACTATTAACGTGTACATGACAGTCACCAGTACCTCGTGCTTATGGTTGATAGATGTACTGACCCGTAAAAAAAGAATGACTGTATAAGTGATTGGTTTGCGAAGGAAGTCGAAGTATCAATTGCTGGGAGAGCATTTAAACGGAGTGTTAAAAGTTACAAAGGTAAAAAACGCATTAATGTTTTAAGTCACCGAGCAGCAAAATGTTACCGGGTAAAATGCCAAAGCATGCACCGACAAGAAGAGCAAATCGTCACATATCTAAGTCGCGTTGTTAACTCTGGAGTAACTGTGGGAAAGTGAGGAGGGTTAGTTTCCTTTTCCTGTGGCGCTCCGCAGTTTCGCTACTGTCGTCGGCCGGCCCAGGCCACGAAGGACCTGCTGGGTAAAGTCTTGTCTGTCTTGGTCGGATTCTGGAAGGAAATTTCCGGTCACTTCGTCCTTGTTGTCGGCACACCACTCGAACGTGTACACCCCCCTGCACAGAAATTTTGCATGTTATCCGCTCGTAGCGGCGTTGATTGGTCAGCGCGTACACTGGACTTTCTGTTTATAATCCTTGGTCACGGTATCGCGCACATGTTTCAGAAACAGGCCAAGGAACACCATGCCTTCCTCTGGGTTCCATGTTGCCATGGCCTCCTGCCAAATTATTACAAAGAAAATTAGTAATGACCGTATATATTTGTATAGATATCTACACATTGAACGTAAACATATTTTTACATTTTTAAGCCTACTTCATTATAGCGCAAATGCTGCTAATAGCGCGCGCTTTTCCCCGAGCCAAGGGAAGGGAATTTATGCGCACTGAATGTGTCCTGTTGCACACTATTTATTGGCTTCCTTATAAAATTTTTGTACCGCGGACTTACCAACCGATTTCCATTTTTTTTGTCTTAATGGGATAATCATGGCGCGATGTATTTTAAGCAACCGCTAATTATCATCGGCCATAAGCTGCATGCAGGCAAAGACCATAAGAAGTATGTACTGTACTCGTACGCGTCTTACCGCTTTGGCCTGCACGGCGATGTCGTTCGTATCGTACTCGCGGGTTTCCACAAGTACTCCCGCTTCGTCCCACAGACCAACGATCACCTTAGTCATTCCAGCAATGAACGCCTGGGCCCAGTATTTCGCCAGCTTGTATTGGCTGTAGCGCAAACAAAACGACTATCATCAACAGTAACGCAAAGATGCAAAATCCCGAGATTCACTAAAACGTCCATTTCCATTGAGATACGGTTTTGGCGGTCGCTTTCCAATGGGCCGTAGCCTTCAGTTCGATATAACTCGCGGGCGTGCCGGCGACATCCGGATCGCGGCAGTCCACCTCCGCTCCAAACATCACGCGGATGTCGTTGATGCGGCGCGTCAGGAACGAATAAAAGCTGCTCTTGTCCTTCAATGGATGGCTTAGAGTCGCTGCCTCTCCTGTATTACGTGTCATCACGTCCTCATATACGGACCCGCTAAACACAAACAACTCTGACAATACTGAATCAAATAGGTTTTCTTCGAATAATGACCGTTGCCCAATGCCCGTTATTTGCTCGATATCGTGCTGGGGCAGACTTCTGTGACAGCGTAATACACGTCGTACCGGTGTTCACAACGCTTTTCGTATTCCAAATCAGCCTCCGACTTCTTGCGTGTGTTTCCCGGGTGCGTGTACCCGTTCAGTGCCATGTACAGCACTCCGTCGATCAGGACAACGTCGATCTTCCATCCATTGGCTGTACATAATGCCCATTCATTATATGTAGTTTCATCGATGCGTTACTAAATTATGTAATAATGTAAAGCAATGGTTGCACTTGCAGTTGTTGTTATTTTTATGGCTATTGCCGATTACAGCGTGATATACTGTATAGATATTAAAATCATGCATTCGTAGACGTATACCGTAAGTGCCGATGCATGCTATACAATTGGTATACATGCGCGGCCATGATTCCGTGCATTCCCATACTCTGTTAATTTTTACATTTGTTTTATCTGCAGCTAAATGAATTGTACACGCTGGCGAGAAAAATGAGTGAAATAAGTTCCAAGAAATTTAAATATAAGCAGGGTAGGAGAAGTATCGGGTATGCGCCCGTCTTCAAAATTTTCAACGTAAAGGTTTTCAGAACATCCCTATTTTCTTGTATCCACAGTATCTTACACCTGCAGCATCCTCTGTGTATGTTTCTATTAAAGTGCATGTTACTGCACCCAGCTGTCCAGCCCTCAATTTGTTTCACTGCCGTATCCTATCGTATTTTCCTGTATTCTCTCATCTCTGTGTAAACTCCCGTATACTCCCCCAAGAAATCTTAAAGAAAAAAACGGTAGAATACCGCGGGATGCACTTGTGCGTACTAATGGTAAGTTTGTACGCATCAATGACAGAATTCATCGCTTGGTTTACGATATGTACAGGCACTTGTCGATTTGATAAAGTGGTAATTGTTTTACTAGCGTATCCCACGGCCACAATGCTCTAACAATAACTCAAATTCCCTTTCCGTATCCTCTGCATGTGGATCCTCGATGTATGCTCTAGAGCTTCTTAGATGTCTTAGGTTTTCTTACGTTTCTTTTGCGGGCTACATAAAGGAAACGGCAGATATATGATAAATTATATTGCAATGAAACAGAAAAGGGTCTGATAAATTAGAGGATATGGGAAACATACGTAGAGCATACAGACCTGCACTGTGAGGATCGGGGACAGGGTGAGATACACATCAAAAACATGTGCCGGGGAAAGTTTGCCGTGTACGAAGTCGTCCATATCTAGAGTACTCGTACACAACGATTTTAACAGCAAAGTTATGTAGTACATCGAATGTCTCAGCTAATTTATTACTGCCGAGAAAAAAATTTCAATAATATCCCCTTATAGTTACACTTTTTACGCTGAATATTCTGGTCTCTTGATTGCCCATCCCTTGCTAACATTAATTGCCAAGTGTGTAGGATGAGTAAAATAACACCAAAAACGATTCTGAATGGAGGTCCAAATTTGTAGTCTATAAGTTTTATAGCGCTCAATTTTCAAAAAATTTATGGAACCTCCGAAATTTCCCGATATACACGTGCCACGACCGATAAACCGCTCTTGATTGTACGGACGGGAAAAGGATTCTGAATCCAACGGGGATTTTTAACGGATTTTATGTAGAAAGCACCTACGGCTCGTGTCGTACCACTCCAAAAATTCGACACATCATTTTGCTACGTATTCCCGGGTATTTCACCGGACCACCGGTATTCGTGGATGTGCTGCCTGTATTCCGCTTTATCCGCTCTGTATCCATCAAGTGTCTCTGCAGTGGGCCCTGTATTCCTGCGTATTTCACCAGTTTTCTTGTGCGTTTTGCCTGTATATTCTTCCGTATTCCTCCGGTACTGGAGTTTTTCTTATGTTTTCTTAGTTTGTCTTAGTCGGATTACCTGGTGGGAAACAGGCAGAACACGCAAGAATACCGGTGAAATACACGTGAAAACATGGCCCCGTTGCAAAGAGACATTTAACGGATGCGGAGCGGATAATATTAAGTCGGAATACAGGCAGAAAACGCAGGCATACCAGTTGAATACGCGAGAATATAATAAATACGTATAGAAAAATAATGTATCCAATTTCGGAGTGACATGAATCGTCCATACAGGGTATATCTTTGAAAGCACGCGCAGATGCTGCCTCATTTATACCGTACGTGCTTCTCGAAGAGCCTGTGTAGTATCAAAATTCCTGTGCCTCGCAAATTAGTTTGCTCGAAACGAAATTAAGCGAAGGAAATAGTAAACAAAGAACTATTTTAAGTAAAATAAGTTAAAAAATAGAATCAGCACAGAAAAAGCTAAAAATATTTTATGAAAGGTTGTAAACACTCTATAAAAGATTGCAAACATTCTGTAATTCAGTGTATCTTACCATTCGTGGTCCGTCGATTAAACGCAGTCATCATGATTTCCTTTAATGTCCCGTTCCAGCAAACAATTTCCGGCCTGTAAATGAACGTAATATGAGATAGCAAAAAACCTGCAAAGAAAAACCTGCACAGCCCTTGCGTATTACGTACGCAGCGTCACGGAAGTAAGAAGTATGTGCTGCCATCCAGTTTAACAGCAGCATTAAATGCCTGTACATCACAGCAGTCCATGACTTTTCGACGCCCGGATCGTATCCCTGATTCAGATCTATTTCCAGTCCGGTAACATGACTTTGGTCGCCTTCTCCGTGTTGTCGGACGATTGGCGGACAAGCTGGTGGATTTTCTCCAGATGCAGCCGTTCCAACTTCCAAAGCCATACCAATGCCGACGATATTACCATCTAGCTGAATTTTCCAGCTTAATGGGTTCGGAGATTCCGGGAGTTCCGCAGCCATCGTTCACCGCACAACTCGTCCGCTCGTACGTAACGAGGTACTCATCCGCTTCCGACGTACTCGTCCGCTTCCGACGCAGCAAAACACTCCGTCCGGGTCCGTCACAATCACGGTTAATTTCCGTGTGTAAAAGATGATATAAGGACACTTCTGGCTTGCTTACCACGTAATCCGCAAAGAAAGCAACAGGTCTACCGATCTGACGAAATCGATAGTGATATATCAGGCAATCTTCGAGAATTTCCAATAATTAACCAATTCAAAACCAGGTACCACGGTGTTCCTACTGTTCATAATTCTACCCAGCACCGGAAAACGCAAGTCACGAAGATTTTACGAACCGTCGACTGCAGCGCCGTCATCAGTTCCATCACACTTTTTCCCAGGTGACTCCAATGGGAAGATGTGATTGCCATTGTCGATGGAGACAATTGCACTCCTTGCTCTTCTTAGCTGAAATTTTGCAAATCAGTGCAGGTGAATATGAACCTGGATAAGAATTCTACGATTATTTTCAGGAGGAACATGGATATTCTTTATACGTGTCCCTTTACGGACAAGGGGGAATATATCTTGCTGCCTCATCTTCCCTCATAAACTACGTCACAGACGTTGTACCAACCCAACGTTGTGCTGACTCATGCAACAGGTTGCCCGGGGCACGTTTTCTTGTGCACAGAAATTTCAGCAGGCGCGTATAGTTTTGCCGCTATAGTTGGGAGCGGTTAAGGACGTTTATAAATCGATATCCCTAACAAAGGTCACGAGCGTCTTCTGGAGACATTAATTCCTGATACTGCCAGTGCCCAGTGCCCATCTAGCTCAAGATGGAATGTAATTGCAGCTCGTTACATAACGCCCTGTTCAGCCATTAAGTGGAGCTTCAGCTCGATAGTCGGTGCAGTACAGGGAAGCGGTGAGCAGTGCTGCTGCTTTACCGGTTTCGGTATATCGTTCCACCTGTTGATTTGCGCTGGTTATTACACAGCATCAAGCGCGTTATAAATCAGGAAATGGGGAAGCATGATTTTTTCTTCTTTAAAAATTTAAATTATGTGACCGAAACAATAGTAAAATACAATAAATATTAAACAAATATGAGTGATATTAGCTGCAATACAGTAAATTTACTTTTGAGTTAATTGTTCGCTGTTCTAATGTGCTAACTGCTAAATAAAAATGTCTGGTTAGGGATATACGTAATTACCACAATAAAAAATTGGATACCTCTCCGACATATTTTCATAGTTTCCTTAATATTGCTATGTATTTGAATTTGGCGAACATCTGTCATACGAAATGCGCGTACCGCGTATGCACTATACACTGTGGCGAAGCGTGCCGTGGTACGGAGTTTGGCGTAATCCATGAATTTTTATTTTTCGCTGTACTTACGCGTCGTAAACGTTTACGTAGCTGATCCCACTTCTGTTTGTACGATAAAAACCTTCTAAAATTTGTATTGTGTACGTAACGGCTACAATCGCGGGAACGTCGCCGGCTAAACCAATCAACTCGTCTTTGTGCTCCCGCTCCCTGTTCCCGGTGTGCGCTATTAGATGTTCCCGGTGAGTATATGTACGTATGCTATGACTTGCATTTTGTAATGGAATTAAGAATTTTGTTATACAACCACTGAAAAACGTTTTTTACAATATTGACCGCACTGATATTTCATTAATTATCACCTTTTCCGACTCCATGTTCGTTGCGAGTTTATGACCTTTTGCGGTAGAAATAGCAAACAAAGTTGAAATTGTAGTATTTTACTCCCGATGCATCCTCCCGGAATAATCAGGGTCTCCAAACACAAATTCCAGCATGAATTTCATGGTGGAATTCAAAGCTTCGATTCGTCGATCTGAATAAACTGGCAGTTCTTGTAATTTCATCAACTTGCTGTGTACGGTACATTTGCCGACACAGTAATTTTCGCCACTTTGAATTCTTGGTAATTTTTGCGAATTCTTGGTGTTCTCCATACAAAATATAATCCACGTGGATAACTAAACCAATCATTTCTCAAAATTATCGAACATCGTCCACGAGAGCATACTTGCGATTTTTCCATCGTAGCTGGTTTCCTGCGCGTATAGCATTATATGACCAGGATTAAAATTATATTTTTATTTAATAATTTGGTATCAAATTAACAGATTCTCTCAGCTCGTGAACATCGGCAAGATCTGCCACCCTGTCACGAAGAAACACCTTAATTACGAACCAGCCGCGGCACAAATTAATGTTGATCAGTTCAGATGAATTTCTTTTGAATTCATGAGCAGAAAACCGGTTGACAACCCCGCGGGGCACGCGCAAAACTTGAAACCTGAGACACAAACGCATGATCAACCAGGCGTTCGGGGCTGCTGGTGTACATCGGTCTTGCAAGTTTGTGTACTATACATACACCAACGCCAAATAGTATCACTACGGTGGCGCTACCCTAGAAAAGCACGATATCGAGTCATGCAGTGCTGACAGTGGCTCGATACACTCAGCAACACCGGAAGTGCGAATACCGCGACTGTTTTCGGGCACGGAATGTACGGGCACTATTCTCATTCCCGTAGTTCGATCCCGCCCCAGTTTAGCACGCTTTTTCAAACAGGATCCATTTCACGGAACACGGAGCCCTCTCCTGGAAAGCGATCGGCTTGCGGGAATAGAGATTTCGAAACTTGATTGATAAAACATGGTTTTGTGCGAACTGCGAAAAGTACAGTACCGGTTGTGTTTATCGATAAACCCGGGCGGCGCCTGGTGTCACTACCAATCGACACCGCGTGAAGGGGCGACATGCATAAGGTGGAACACAAGCCAATAGTATACCTTAAGTAATAATTTTTATTTACAGATTATATATTATTAATCTGTATATTATATCAGTGGTGGTGGATGTGGATGCAGCAAACGTATGCACGTGCACATTGTGCAGGTGCATACGTTAATGGACTATTTTGCATGCATATATGTATTCGCACTAGCATTGCGTAGAGCAGTGTTTTAAAAAAAACGAGTCAGATGGCTGCTTTGTAGTGCCAGCAGCCTTTTCGTAGAGACATTTTGCATCCACAGCTTTCTAAACAATGGGCATCATCAGCTACCGCCGCTATCATGGAAATCGGGAAACGTCTGCGTAATCAGAGCGGAAAGGCTCGCTCCCTTATAATTTCGGCAGCGGCTGTCTTTGGAGATACAACAAGAAATGCGCCTTCAGTTATAGGAACAATCAATAATGTACGGAGTTAAAAAGTTAAATGAGGAATTTCCCTGTGATATTTAGATTTCGCTTTACATGTGCATCACAAATAAAAGCGTGTATTTCGTAGAAACTAGCAGTGACAATATACTGTAATAGTGTTTTGTGGTGCAATGCATGTGTTGGCACGTGGCTTTAGCGTGCGCCAGTTCCCTAATCGGATGTTGCGCATACAAACGGTTCTCACGCCAAAGTACAAATCATTTGGCTAAACAAAGCCATAAAACCCTGATGAAAATTGTTCTGAGGGCGCGAAAACAACGTCCCCGTGCACATACCGCTTCGAAGGTAAGCATAGAACAGATGTGGATCTATAGACTGTACAGCAAGCTGCGCAATGCAGTGACCTTTACGTATAGATATAGAAACATACATAAAACAAGGGCCCAAACCATTTTCCTCTAAGAATAAGTTCGATTTGAACGGCAATATTCTTGCAAATTTAATTCGTTCTAGCGTTTCAAACTGTCTAAAACGTTTGGAAGGAGAACAGTGTGATAAGACATTTCTCAATGTTAGAAAAGCCGAACGAAAACGAATTTCAACCTTTAAAGAGTGTGCAGCACAGATCACTGGTACGGCAAATGTTGCGACGACCGCACCTTGAAATGATAGCAAAAAACATCCTTGGATCGAGGACTAGGCGCGGAGGACGGGGAAGAGGATGACTGGCAACAGCGCCACGATGCATAGGGGCATCGGCAGCGCTTCCGCCAGAAAAGAGACGCTCATTAGCACCAGTACGTAGGCGCAGCGGGCCGGCTTCAGGCACAATACAACTTTTGTTCAAATAAAACATTTATCGCATGTGACCTTTGATGACCTTTACCATCTGCTACATTTTCAAGCCGAGGAGCACTAGATGCAGGCCTACAATGTTTCTGCTTAAAACTCCTAGCACCGTAATGGCATTAAACGATTATTACTGACTATAGACATTGACTTTGAAAAGTACTGACCATTAATTTTAAAACTTAAGTATACATGTACTGCACTCAGTGCACTGAAACAAAAAACGGATGGCTGAAAGTTCAAGCACGTAGCGTGCTTTTGCTCGAGGCATTATCAATCATGCAATAGGTTGTGTGGCATAATAATGCTGATGTTATACTGCAAGTGCACGTACAGAGAAAATATACTTGTTTTTCTCTGTACACGTACATGTACATGTACATGTACATGTACATACATACTCCATGTGTTCCTCTGAACAGTTTTTGGGCATTTTTTTATACAGTTTTTGCGCATGCAGCAGTTTTTGCGCTCTTGTTAGTCACTGAAGTATGTACTTATAAAGCTTATTGGTAGCTGTTCATACCAGCATTAAAAATAATTAAATATTTATTCTGGTACATAGCTAATACCGGTATTATGTACTGTAACCACGTACATACACGCAGTACATACACGCATTCTCTGGATATGTGCCAGCGAATGGAATCCGACGTGCAACCTTTTTACGCCCGCCCATACGAGAGAAAAATGTACATACCTGCGAAAAACTGTATAACATTTTCGCGTTATTTCGAGCATACGAGTAGCGATGATATCATTTATAAATAAACGAAGCCACATTTGCAACTACGCCTTTAATTTTTCGGTGGAAAATGTCGAGCTGAAAAGGTTTTGACTGTGATCTTTGCAGTAAGTGTGCCATTTTGACAATCCTGCAACACGGATACCATATTACGAGATCAGCCAGAGAATTCGGGAGGCATTAATATAATCAGTTCTCGTTGCGAGAAAAGTGGGCGTAGTGTTGAAAAATTTCTGAGTGTCGGCTGTCATCCAATTCGCCATACGAGGTACGTATGCATTATATTTGATTACTCCAGACAGTATATTAATGGGCCGCTCTACTACTGTATGACGGCGCCACATACTGTACTGCTGCCGGTAATCACTTATACATAACTGCAAGTAAAAATTGTTATTTTATTTGTTTGCTAGTTTCTTCATTTAAATATTTTGCTTTAAATATTTATCTGCTTTTTTCAGACCGTCTGACTGCCACTATTTACGCCTACAAAGCAAAATGCAAAGGATGATCGTAACCATCGATAACTTCCTGTCAGCAAATCCATCATTCAGCGAAAACTCCTGGCATAAATATGATTGTACCCGGCTGAGAAATTATCGCTTTGCCGACAGGATTATTATCAGCCGAGGGTACTACTTTCACATAGCGCTTTACATGGGCGATGGGCGAGTAGTGCATTTTAAACCGGCCAACCGGGAAGAGAATGGCGGTCTTAGGAATGCGGACAAATGGTTCGTAGGAGTTGCGGCCATCGACAGCCTTGAAAATGTTGCAGGTACGATAATTAATGTAATTATTATTATTTTATTAACTGCAGCAACTACTGCTTCATTCATTATTGCTTAATAAGGGGACGACTATATCCGGATCGGTCGGTTTGATCGTGAGGAAGCCGGTGTTTATATACGCCCACGCGAGGATATTAAGCTGCTGGTGGAAATTTTCGAAAAAGCGCCAAATATATTTAATTACTGCCTGGAACGTTTCAACTGCGAGCATTTTGTCAACTTTCTCAAGGTACGCACAGCCAATCTGAGCACACAGTTATCAGCAATTTAAATTTTTTTGGCTGTGACGGAGCTCCTCTGGGTTGTAGTATGCAGCACCAGTTTCCTGCCAGGTTCTTTTTTGGCACGAGATAAATGCGCAGGCTCGGTCGGCAGGATCCACCATCAGAACCACAGCTGAAAGAGCCGTGAGCACGGTGGGAGGAATAGTGGGAGTGGTGGGACTGGTGCCAGGAACGCCAGATCAGGAGCGGCCGGATGCGCGCAACGAGGAGCGGCTAGTAGCCATGCTGGAACGAAGAAGCCTGCTGAAAACTATACCGGTCTCCACTAGTTTTGCTGACAAGCGGCTTGAACTTGTAGATATTTGTGTCAGCATTGCCAGTGAACTGGAGAACCATCCCCGGGACGAAATTGAAAATTTCTTTATTTGGTAACAGCTATTTTGTTGACTGACATTTTTGCATGTTAACTGCTGCTCCGTATTAGGACGGGCTTTCCTGTAGTTCATGTTCCATTCTTTGCTGTGTTCTCATTTTTTTCCTTTGTCAATAATTTATTCCTAGGCTACATCATCGGTATTCTTGCTATGATGCACCGAGGTGTGCCCCACTTACGGTTGGTTTTTGGCTAGCACTTTGGATGTGTGCTTGAAAGCTTTCGTGATTTTGTGTGTGAAAGAAGTCTCTCTCTCGTGGTTTTGTTAGTTTAGCACATGGGAATTCATCCAGTGCCTTGAAAAAACAAGCGGCTCTTAACATCATTCCAGTTAGTAGAATAGTATTACTGAAATACAATCAAAGCCAAAGGTAACTCGAACAGTGACCATAATGGCTTGTATCAGAAAACATGCCGTTACTGCGCAGAGCGTCAATTGAGCATGTCGGCTGGGTGGCCGGCTGTGCGACAGCATCAATTCTTCGAGATTGGTCCAGAACGGGTTTTCAAGATACGATCGTACCGCTTGTTGCCGGTGTTGCTATTTTACTGTTGCGCGAAAGTGCATAAGATACAAGTACACGTGGACGTTGGGAACAACGTAGTCAAATTGACCATACATGCAGGAAAGTGCAAATTCATTCAGCAACTAAACCTGCCAAATCAGTCAGAATATGCCGGAACAAGTTCAGCTTGTAATTATACTGTACCTTGATGCTGTCTTTTAATGGTTACCACCGGGCACCGGAAACGAGAAAAAGCAGTCTGCACGGCTTTGAATTAGGGATGCGCGTCGAAGATGCACATGCACTATATGCACAAGCAGTATAGAATAAATACAAAATAAATTAATAAAAATAAATTACGTTGTTTTGATTGTCCATAGGTCTTGCTTGATAAAGAGTGATTCTTGTATCTGTAGACGTTAACCCTAAACCCTAATAAGGTTATTTTATGGTGACGTTTACCTTTGCATTACTCTTGAGCCAAATTGCAAATTGCTCGGCTGCTTCGCGCAAGAATTCCTCTATCCCGGCCAAGTCATATTGTTTATTTAGAGGCTTTCTAAATCACCAAAAACTAACGGGCCCCTGCCCTTACATCCACGGTGCACCAGAAGCAGTGCATAGTTTTAAATTCTACTGTTTGAGCTAAGTCAGCTTACTTTACACTGCCCACTATTAGGATGCAAAATCGTGCGAGACCAGCCGCATGCCAGGAGTCCCGAGGACTAAGTATCTCACGGATGACCTTTGCAGTTCTTTGCTACGTTTGGCCGGCAATGGAAGTTTTTCCTTTTTAATTACACATTATTACTGCGATTGCCATACAACTTGAATGATGAGAGTGATGTATTCGACAAAACGATTTTTATTGGAAGTTATCGTGGCCTGCAGCTGTTATGACATGGCTGTGCTTGGTTGCCAGTTGATAACTGGTTACGGCAAGAGGACTTACCAATGTACATATGTTCGCCATTCTGCAGCTGCGGCTGCGTCGAAAAAATAATAATTTCCACGCTGAAATTTCGATAGTTATCTTCCCCAAGGCGATCATAAATTAATGTCTCTCACTAACAGGAAGAATTAATGCAACAAATGCCGGCCACGCTTAGAACGTTTAGAATAATTATCACAATGTTATTATTACCGTAAGACTAGCCTGCGCCTGAAGTGTGGCGTTACGGCAGTACATATGGCTAAATCTGGCGCGGTACATAAGCTCCATGTTCAGCCACAACGTCATACTCCAGCCGGCTTACGGCAGCAAGTAAAGATAGTGCTGAAATGCGATACCGTCATCCCCTCGTATAGAGTATTTCTATATTATACTCTACAGTGCGGTATTTTTCGCCGGTCTATAATGTCGATAAGGGACGGTGTTGACCCAACACTGTGTGCTAGGTTGAAGTCGGTACGGGGGACGAGACGTTGCCCTGAATACCTGACGGCACTGCGTTCTATTTGTGCAGAAACAAGCGTCGGTGCCGCAACTATCCAGGCTTGGGTGTTTGAGCTGCCTAGTCTCCGAATCCCCGCAGGCAGGAACACCCTAGCGCTCAGCGCATAGGTTGGCCATCAACACTCAACCAACTCACACGCCAGTCGGCATTTGCGAAGATACCGATCGAGCGCTGGTTCCTTTCTTCCAGTGACCTTTTCTGGTCGCAAACGCTCCACACCGCCCAGGTCAGCTGTATTTCCTTACTTCCAAGGGTGCCAGGCAAATTTTCTCAGGATGACTTGCACGTTCTACTACGCTTTTAGGCGCACGTTGCTTGACGTTTCCATGAGGATGATGAACAGCTTCTCCGCCCCTTTTTCCATCTTCCAAACCGTGTTCTAACTAGTATTTTCTAGTCAGAACACGCGATATTATTATGATCCACATAATACGACTAGGCTGTACAACTAGGCTAATGCTTTCTGTCCCGGATCTAGAACCTTTTTTGTTTTTATAGTGCATACAAATAGCACCAGTCCAGGATGCGGCCTATCAGAGTTGTATATCCGAGTTCACATAAAAAACACTGAAGGCAGACACAGTTCCATAAATCGTCATTTGAATTTAGATCCTTAAAGTAGTCTTACGACAAAATATAGAGGGCTCTGTTTAGCTGGATTAAATTTTCTAGGACGTGCAGTGTTGTGCGCATTACGTAGTGCATTTCCGTGACTGAATTTATCCCAGTAATCGCCAGTTACTGTGTGATTTGTAACCATTCCGTTGAGACCCGAAAATGACGACATCTGACGGAACAAACCCGAAGCAGAAAGCTGCCGCTTTCGACATCGGTACTGTTTTGCACGCAGCATTTACCAGCGGGGACCTTTGCGATGTGGAGTTCCTGGTCGGGAGTCATTACGGGGAAGATAAGAAGATCTTCCGAGCGCACAAGTACAGATAAGTCCGTGACGGATGCAAATTGCCGGACCACGTTATCTGCCATAACTGGTTCGCAGGACTATTCTGAGCTTGCGCAGCCCGGTTTTCCGGGCCTTGTTCTACGGCAGCTTACCCGATCCCTGTGAGCGGCCTGTTGAGGTTCCCGATGTTCATCCTGAAGCATTTGCCAATATGCTCAGGTGAATTTATATTTATTTTCTCATTTCCCTGTTGCTACAACCGCTGATCGATACTTTCACATTTAATTTCTATTTTTTTTAGCTATTTGTATGCCGACCGCGTTGACCTCAACCGCGAGACGGTCTTCCCTACGCTGTACTGCGCCGACAGATACGATGTGCCAGGGCTCCTCGACGCCTGCTTTCAGTTTGCCATCAGGGCTCTTGACGTGCGCAGCTGGACTTGGTACACTGCCTTTGCATCCCTCCGTAGATAAACAGTATACAGATCCTCGCTGAACCCGGTGTCTGATGACTTTTAGTTTTAGGCGGTTGAATGGCAAGCTACAGTCTTCGTGGAGTCCTGCTTAAAAGTGATAGATGCCCATACCGAAACCGTTCTGCGCTCCAAATATTTCACCGCACTGGACAAAAGAACATTGGAGTTGATTCTGCCGCGAAGCACATTGCAGGCAAAGGAGAAAAGCATTTACGAGGCAGTTGCAGCGTATGTGTATTGCAGTCTTAAATCTTGTATAATATAATCTTATATTAAACGTTCCAGGAACGTTTCGTACCAAAGAAAAAAACTGGAACGTTTTTTCCCTTCTTGTA